TTTTTTTTTTTTTGTAGAGACAGGGTCTCCCTATATTGCCCAAGTCAGTCTTGAAACTCCTGGCTTAAAGTTACCCTCCCACTCGGCATCCCAAAATGCTAAGATTACAGGCATTAGCCACTGCACCTGGCCGATAATCTATTTCTAATATAAACAAAGATGACAAAAAAATCTCATACCTCATTTATATTACTTTGTCCACAGTAAATGTAAGCTATATATACAAACACACAACCTTAAGATACATTACTTCTGAAAAAATATATTGCTACTTTATAGAATCATTTTTTGAAGTAGATTAAGTTCCTGGCACTTTTTATCCACATACAAATTATCCAATGAATAAGGAGAAAACTGTTTTGATTTTACATACATTCCAAATGATTTTTATATAGTATCCTGAGAAATATCAGAAAGTTGACTTTCCTCTTATCATTCAGTTGCATATCAAATTAAGATAATGGCTAAAAAATAGACTTGACACAGGGTGCAGAGGTTTAAACCACAGTTCTATTGCTGCTTAGCACTGTAATTACAGGCATATTACAGAACCTACCTATCAAATCTAATTTCCACATTTGTAAAATAAGAATAACTCAAAAATCTGTTTTGTGGGAAAAAATGATAGTGTAAATCTTAGCAAACAGTACATGAAATAAAATGCTAGTAATTATTCATCAAGCTAAACAAAAAGTTTTTTGATTACACATTGCTTTGTATAACATGTTATTGTTCAACATTAGATGAGTAAACAAGACTTGATACTTATCTTTTAAGAAAATTACAGAATCAAAGAATCTGCAGGCCTAACTATAGTTAAACATATTTCAAAAGGAAAGTTTATTTTTAAAGTGGAATTTGTTAAAAAAGCATAATAAATCACTTACTGATATCTATCCTCTGTTCAACAGGTAATGGACTGACACGGCTGACAAGTTTTGAAAGACATGTTGCTGCAAGCAGCTGAGCATAGGATGTCTGTAAAAAATAATTATTATTTATTATTATCATAAATAAAATCAGTATATTTAAACATTATGGTAAGAATTTTTTTCTAAGTAATAATGGTAATTCCTCCAGTTTTCCAAACTGGCAGATTTAAAATGGATAAAATATATCTATTTGAGATATATGTATGTATGTATATATATAATATATATAGAAAAATGTACACATACACACAAACAATCCTTCACAAGGGATCATTACTTGTGAGAGATATAGATAGCCATATCAAACAACAGTAAGTAATTAGGAGAAATAAATGACTAAGTTCAAATAAAACACAGTTTACATACTCCCAACACAATCTAGCTTCTGATTATCTCTTGAAATTCATTTGATTCCACTCTTCACTATGCTCTGACCACAACAGTCTTTCAGGTCCTTTAAATGCCTTCCCCACCCAGATCTCCTTCAGACCCGTCTCTGACTATACTGTCTGTGGTCACCAACTATCTTAACTTAATAAGGTACTCAAATTCTCTAAATGCATGTTCATCCTTCAAAATTTGGTTCAGTTACTCATTCCACCCCAGGCATTTCTTGCAAAGATAGTCCCTCTTTCTTTTTTTTTCCAGAGGTTGGCAAATTATAGTCTGTGGATCAAATTCTGCTTGCTTTTGCACAACCTCTAAACCAAGAATAGTTTTTACAATTTTAAAATTTATCAAAAATAAATTTTATTCAAAAATTCTATTCAAAAATTTTTTAAAAGCATTATTTTTTAACATGTGACAAATATACAAAATCCAAGTATCAGTGTCTGTAAATGAAGTTTATTAAAATATAGCCATGCTCATTCATTTACACAACATCTATGGCTGCTTTCATGCTATAATGGCCAAACTGAAGAGGTAGGACAAAGACCATATGTGGCACTCATTGCTTCCTACTGCTGCTCCCTAAATACATAAATTACAGTGATAGAATTCTAACTCCACAGTGCCCAGAGTGCCATGGGCATCACTACTGCATGACATGTACCTTTTATCACTACCAGTGCATACTGTCAAAACAACAAAAGATAAAAGTATGCTTCAAATATTTAACTTCTAAGACTTAATGGAGAGTGGATTATTTCGTTATTGAATTAAAAAACAAAGCAATGTGATTTTTATGCAGTGGCACTACAGCTGTCCTAAAGAGTACAACATATGCTGACAATATCAGACTAAGAGCTTATTACAATATTTCTGACTCAAAGGAAATCAAGTCAGAAAAAGTATAAAATTTAAAAGAAAGTATCTCATCACAGCAGGATATCTTTATAAAAATGAAAAATAAAAGTGCTTGCTTCAGCAGCCAATATACTAAAAACGAAAAATAAAATGCAGCTGCAGCCAAAGTTCCCAAGTAGCTCACTTATTAGCCAACCAAGGAAAGCCATTTCCAATGCTGAGTTAATTAAATTATCATTATTTTATTGCAGCAGCCAAAGTTATACATGTAGAGCAAATAAATTTAAGACCAGTAGTCTTTTGGTGAGAACAAATGCTTAAAGAGTTGAGGGACAGAACACTGGAGCAACATCAAAAGTCAAATTTAAAAATAAGAAAAATGATTTTTAAAGTTCTCCTTAGGTCTGAATAAGGGACAGACAATTTCTAATATTGCTCAGATTGTTAAAGTTACCAATAATTATGCCAGAAGTCAATACTAGATGTGAAGTGACTAAAAAATTAACCTCTGTGAAGAGTCTGTGTGAAATTACAGGCCAGAATATTTTCAAAGAAGTTGAAGAAACATTAATTCAGTAAAAAATCATCTGCTAAGATATGTCACACCAGTGAGCAGAAAAGGGCTTAGTTGAACAAATCTATAAAGCCTATGAAAAATATGTGAGATGTTTAAAGCCTATGTATTTTTCATCAGCAGTTACTGCGCAGTAAATATCTGAATCTATGTCTCGTGAATTTATCTTCAGTTCTGTGAATTTCTGTCAGATACAGACACTAAATATCCTAACTTGTTCCGTCACACAGTAAATTAATAGCTTATCAGTGGTAATGTTTTATAGCAATTTTTTTAGCTCATAGATGAAAGTTAAATTTCTTCTGAGTAAGAAAACCAAACCACTAATGTTCAAAACGAAATGGCTTTGGAAATTACCTTTTGCTATAAACTTGATAACGTCTCTTAATTAATTCAACCTAAAATTACAAAACTGTCTAAAAGGTAAATGTATAATACTCATATATAGAATGTGCACTGCAGCAAAGCCATTTTGATAAGAACTAAAACTATTTGAATCACAAGTAATGTCCCACTTCCCACACTGTCAAAAGTTAAAATATTTGCAGATATACTTTCTTAGCTCCAACTATAGTTTCAGTTTCAGACCTTGATGCAAGTGTAAATGAAATTTCCATATTTAAAATCTATTTAACTACGCAATTGAGGAGCTTCTACCTTATCTTCAATTGGAATTGTTAATCTGCAATGTAATCAATCATATGTCAAAAAGCAAATGTCAAGAACAGATTATATAGAATTCTATAAATGCTAAGTGGTGAATATGCTTAATTAAAATCTTATGGATTGATATTAGTATTTGGCAATATGTGAAAAGATATTTTCAAAGATGAAATATGTAAAATCTCATTAGAGATCCGTGTGAACATTTGAAATCAAGGTGACCGGAAATGAGAGGAAACACCAATTCTGAACTCCAGCTAACTCACCTCTTGGCCAATAAAGCCTAAAAGACAGGGTGGCCCTTCACTGAAAAAGTTTGCCAATTCTGCTCTAGATCATACAGTCTCTTACTGTAGTGCTTACTGTATCGTTTTGTAGCTATTTATATATCTGTGAGTTTCCAACCAAAGAGCTACTTAAATTAATGTACACAAAACAAATAGGCAGACAGTGCCTGGTTTTACATTTCAGTATTTTGCTAAACGATTGCTACGTGAATGGCTGTGAATATCTAGAAGAGAGGCAAGCAAAAAACAGTCAACATTCTTCTGAATCATCCTTTCAAGTTTCAGAGGTAATTACAACTTGCCTCCCCTACCTGGATTAAAAAAAAGTTGTCAGTCAACTTTCTAAAAGTGTAATTTTGCCCACTAAAATGAGACAAAAAAGGGGCCAAAAGTAACCAAGAAGCTATTTTAATTCATTCCTATTTCCACCTCCTAGCTCTTCCCTAAGCTTGCTTTCTAAGCTTTCTAATTCTTTCTCAGATTAACCCCTCTGACAGTGAAATATACTCCAATAAAAAGACATGTGGCAATATCTATCAGTCACCATTGTTAACACACAAGTTCAGCAACCTAACATTCACCTACTGATCTTTCATGGTTAATCAGCGCTACCAAATACTTACTGTTCCTTGTTCTAATAAAAGTTGACACTTGCTGAGACATTCTGGGCTGTCAATAAGTTCCAACAGTGCTTTCTCAGCCTCTATTCTTTGTGTAAGATCAGTCCCTATGTAGAGATGAGTACATAACACTTCCAATTCAGCCAAACTCTTGAAAAGAAAAAAAGTTAACATTTTACTAGAATGAAAAAAATAAGATATTAACTACAGAAAAGAAGGATATAAACACCATGCCTCCCTATATTCATTAATTCAGCACAGATTTACTGAAATAATATGTACAACTACTTACTAGGGGATACAGTGGCAAATAAAACAGGTACACCTCCTACCCAAAAATTATTTACACATAAATTGATAGTTCTGAAATGGAAAATTAAGATATAAGAAGGAGAAAACTTGCCTAACAAAGAGTTAGAAAAGATATGCCTGGGTGGGGTCAACTATATGGTT